CCCGTCACGTGACCGCGGGAGGAGCCCGCGCGTCACAGGCTCCGCCTCGCCCGCCATGTCGAGGAGGGAGAACGGAACTGTCGCAATTGTGCCGCGAGAGGTACACAGGTTCCCATCTTGGTGGTGGCGAGAGCAGAGGGCCAGGATCGCCATCTTGGGAGGGAATGTGACGCCCTGCCGGGGCGCGGAGCTGGCTGAGCCCGAGGGAAAGAAAGCCCCCGCAGTGGCGGCCCCTTGCTTGCTCCGCGTTGGGCGCCGCCCGGCAGAGCCGCCGCCAGCGCTCCCCTTTCATTAGGCAGGCTCGTCTAGAGACTCCGTCCGCCCTTCGGAAATCAGCGCCGAGAGCTGCTGCCTTTGGTCTTAGGTTCTGCAAGGATCACAAAACACTCGGGCTTTGTCCGTTTCTTGCGAGATCCGTCGTTGCTTCTGCTTTCCCGGAGGCGTCCATGAAAACTATATCCCTAATTTACAACGAATTAACCGCGTTAGTCCCTGCAAGCAGACGAGACCAAATACTTTCGCCGGTATTTTAAGATAACACCCCTTCGATGATGGAATTGGGGCCCTAAGGCTTCCAAAAGCTGTCATTAAAATACAGCAGCCAAGATTTTTTTTCTTCTGGTGTTCTTTTTATTTTCCTAATTGACATGGTCGGCCTTTGGCCTTTTATTAACGGTGTCATGAACAATGGAACTTAGTCATTTCCTAGGCCTCTGCCTTCCCTGTCCAAGTCGGGAAACGGGAGTGGGAACAGAACGAACGGGCGGAAGCGTGCCCGGCACGCACCCAAACGCCCGAGGGCACTCGCCCCCTACGCATCTGCGCAGGCGCACTGGGTAGCCAAAGTTTCGAAAGGGCGCATGTGCTGGAAGATGCCCGGGAAGCGGCAAAGGCGGAGCCGCGCATGCGCATTCTGAGAAAGGGAGCAGCAGCGCCTGGCGGCCGCCTCCGCCGTTTCCAGCCCCAGCTTTGGGACGGCCGCGCGCATGCGTATCGGGCAGGCTGGCGGCGGAGGGGAGTTACAATGGAAGATGAAGAGGTCGCCGAGAGCTGGGAGGAAGCGGCGGACAGCGGGGTGAGCTGCGCGGGAGGCGGGATGGGCGCCGCTGGGGTGGGCGCCGCGAATGGAGGGGCCGGGTCAACCCCTGGGGCTCCCGGGGAGGCGCCTCGGGCTCCAGGGAGCAGGCTAGGCCTCTTAAAGGGGCCGCGCCCCCTTCTCGGCAGCACGTGCTTCTCGCGCCGCTCCTGCCCCCGCACCGGGGGG